TTAAGCCTCTCCCCCCGAGCAAATGTCAACATCTCAGTCCACCTCGAGCAAGTCTTATCCAGATATTGGTCTGACAAAGTCTCCATGACTTGTCAGCTCAATCACTTACCGGAAAATGAGGAGATAACATTCTCCCATAATGAAGTGACTTCTCCTCCAGTCGCCAGTCGATACCTATAAAGCAAGGGACGACTCAGCATGCCCGCGTGCCTTCTGTCATGCTCACAAGTCATTTCCCGGGTATCCCGGAGACACCATCTCCCATGCTGAAATGACTTCCCTTCCGGTCGCCAGCCAACACTTGTAAAGAGAGGGATGACTCATCTTCCAGCTCATGCTTTGCCACCGTCATTCTGCATGGTCGAAATGACCAATCTACCATGGACATCCACGTTATATATGGATATTATTCACCATCAGAACAGGGGGACCGAGGAAAAAAGAGGGGAACCCATAGAAGCAAAAAGGAGGGAGAAGCCAAAAAAAAGGCAAGAAACAAACAACAATCTAACTCTTCTGGTTCATCCAATCTAAGAGATAATAATCTCTAATGCACATAGCATAAGAACACATAGTTCTAAACTCTACTCAAGCTTATGTTTATCAACTGACTTGATCGCCGAAGGAACCACGGGGGAACCGGTTCCCGCCCTTTCACGAGTTATTTCTGTCTGTGCAGCGCGAACATCAGATCCTCATTCAAGAACTAGGCATAAAATTGAAGAAGGAATCGGGCCCTCCATCATCCTACACCACCCGCAACAATCCTCTTCTGGATTAATTAGCTGTTTGGTATCGAGCATCAACAACCACCAAATTTCTTATTCTCTCCTATAATATAGAGTGATAGAGCAGTCGGCTAGCTATAAAAAAACAGCTTACACCTGAGATGCATTATGCCTGACGTCACGCTATAATAATTTTTTAGTTTCAGCTTGTTGTTTGGTTGGTTTCCTAAAAATCAAGAAAAGAAAAATGATACATAAAAGATCAATAAAATATTATTTTCATCCATTTCCATCCCTAAGACTCACCACAACATCCAATAAAAAATTATTTTCATCCTACAACTCATATCATATCATCTCCTAAAAATAAATCAAACACAAGAAATGAGTCATATCATCCAACTCATCTCATCTCCATCTCATATTATCTTTAAAAATCACCCACCTCATCCAATAATATGGTGACAACTCATCTCATCTCATTAACATTTCATTTCCATCCATTTACTCAAAAAAACCAAGGAAATTGATTTCCGTAAGTGTGAGTCACATCATCCAATAATATAATGGCAACTCATCTTATCTCATCTATTTTCTTATTTTTAAGAATGAACCAAACACAAGAAAAAAACCTATTACAGGAAATAGGTTTCTTATAATTTATTTGCTTATTTTTTAGCCAACCAAATAACCTCAAAACAAGTTTTCTTAAAAAATCACCCATATCATCCAATAATAATATGACAACTCATCTCATCTCATCTCCCATTCTTTGATTTCCTTCTTTTTTAGCCAACCAAACAATATTAAAATAATTTTTCTTAGAAATAGGTTTACTTTTATCAAAATGGGGAGTTAAAAAAAAATAGCGTATCAGATTCGGTTAGGATATAATCGGATCCTCAACATCTAAACCCACTAACAATTGAAACAATCACCCCCCAAAAAAATCACCAGATAAATACAACACAGTCTTCAGTTTCCACTACGCGCCACTAATTTTTTTTCGCTCTCTCTCTCTCTCTCTCTCCCCTCCGAAAACCAACAAAACCAGGAAACTAATTAAAGTTGCAATTTTAGGGCTTTGGATCCCAATCATCTTCTTCCTAAATTAGGGCTTCTCTTTCCCCAAAATTATCATAATGCGGCCTTCGATCTTGCAAAGCTCGACCTCCTCCTTCCTCAAGTTCCTCAACTATCTCCAGACCTTTGCTGGTGCTTTCGTTCTTCTCTACTCGCTATGGATGCTCAACGATTGGAATCGTCACGGAGTCGACAAGTCTTCTGCTCCTTGGTATGGAATTTTCTTCAGTGAAAGTTTTTCTTTTGGGGTTTTTTTTGGTTAATTCATTGATTAATTTGATTGTGGCGTAGGTTTGTGTACACAATGATGGCTTTTGGTGTTTTCATGTGCTTAATTGCGCTTGTGGGTTACATTGCGGCTGGAGTGGTCAACGGATTCTGCCTCTGCTCCGTATCCTAGCTACTTTTTTAATAAATTTTTTATTAATTTATTATCTGTTTGTTTGGTCAGGTTTGAAAAATTAGAAATATCTTAATCCCATCTTCACATGCGAAGAGGTTCTTTTTAACATTTGGAAATTTTGTCCCTTGCCCATTATTTTATGTAGTGTGAGTGCCATTGAGTAGTGCGCTTGTTGCACTTTGATTTGAGCAATTCTGGCTTATTGTGAATGGATTTTATTAAGCTGCATTCAGAAATCTTATGTGATTGCTTAAAATCTATTGCAACAGTTCAGTGGAGGTCCCTAAGTATTGGCTAAATATCATTTGATTTTTTAATGTTTGGAAGTATTGCCGGAAATCCCGAATGTTACCCCCTTGATCATCCTTTTTCAAACTTCCGTTAAATCTTATTGTTGCGGCGATGATGTGGCACTGCCATGTCAGCAAAAAAATTAGTAAAAGTCCAAGTTTATCCTGCCACACCATTGCCACATCAACAGAAAATTAGTAAAATTACGTGTTTGTATTGAACTGGGAATTTCACTAATATTTTTGCTGACGTGACTGTGACATGGCAACACCAAGTCATCGCCACGTTAGAAAATTTTAACGGAATTTAATAGAAGGACCTAGGCTAATGACAGACGTAATGTTAGGGATCACCAATGATGACTTCCAAAAATTAGGAACTCGAATGATGTTTGGCCAATTTATGATGGACCTTCTACCGAAGTTTTGCAAAACTTATACTATTTTTTGGTGAATCTAAAAAGAAATACAGCCTAGGGTTTTAGTTTTGATTTTCTTTTTTGAAGTTGGTGGATTTGTGGATTTCCTTCCTAGGTTGATCCTTGATATACTGTCATTTCTTCCCACACAGTGAATCAAGCTTCCGCTTGTGACAAAGTTAATACTGCTTGCTCGAAATATTAATGCTAGTATAACTGCATAGGGTGCTAATGGTAATATTTCTGGCTGAAAACATAAAAATAAACCAATGAAAGGATCGTCAGTTTAGAAGCAGAACCTAGAAGTATGGATACTAGCAGTGAAAATCTTAATTAGGTGGCATTTTAAACAGCTATAGGGAGTTAGAAAGGTTAAAGATAATGATTAACTATGAAGTGAATAATAATAGATTGATTTAGTAAACCTCGCATGCAAGTTGTTGAGTTAGTAAACCTTGCATGCAAGTTGTCTTGTTATAGTTAGATATTGCTTTCCTTCAAGATTCTGTTTCTTGCATGCCAGAATGAAAGCACTGTCCTAAAGTTAACAGGACCTTTTATTCTAATTGAAAAGTCTCCATCTTCAAAATCTACATCCATTGCTTGTAAGAAATTTGGACTGGGTGGTTCTGTTTTATACCATGTGGAAACTTGTAAGATGTGGTTCCTTGCTTTCTAAAATCGCAGGACATATTTGTCCTGATGAGTCCCGAAAACATCTCAGTTCAAAGTGTTGTTCATTACAGTACTTTAGCAAACTGATTGTGTTTTACTTATCCTTCAATTTCATCGTTAGATTGATTTTGTCTACAAAAGTAAAATTTCAGCGATAAAAAAGTACCCACCTTCTGCCAAATTTCAGGTGAACTTCTGCCTGCAAAAATGAACCATTAATCTCTTTATCCAATAATTTGGTTTGGCACATTTTTTTCAGCTTAACTTCACAAGGTTATCAATCTAAACTCTCAACCTTTTGTTAGGTCAGTTATCTTTTTTTACAAGTTAACCAATGCCCAACAATGTAATATGCGGGTATTATGTTAAAGCCATTACAATGATCCTCACATCTTTTTATTACAGTATTGGGATAGTAAATGTTATACAGCTGCTTATAAAACATAACCACTAAAGTGCATCAGGCACTATGTGCTACCTGTAAAATCTGGAGGACTTCATGATTTCTGTTCTCTCAATTTCTTTTGGAATAATTTAACTAAAAATTACATATTTATTACATTGATGTTATATTCTAACCTAAGTATGTTCTATAAATACCTCATATCAAATATCAAATACAATAAAATCAAGTAATTGGTTTCTCACTTCTCAGATTTGTTGACAGTAATATGATCATAAATGCTATACAAAACCTTATAAAAACATAGCCTACCTCTAAAACCTGGAGGAGTTCATGATTTATATTCTCTCATATTTATTGAAATAATTTAATAACAATTACGTTGATATTGCATTCTAATCGACATAAGTTATAAGCATAATAAAGACCTCATATCAAATATCAAATATAATAAAATCAAGTACTTGATTTCACACTTCAGATCTTTGATAAATATGGTCATCCGTAACAGGGGCCTTCTATGCCAGACTGTCTTTTCTATTACATTGTTTAGCTACGGCCACTATTTGCATGAACCTGTAGGTTTTAAAACAGTGAACATGTAGTAACCTTCTTCTCAGATCGAGTCAACAGGTCAATTGTATGAGAGAGTTCTGTCAAATTGCTGTCAGAAAAATCCTTCCTGTGGTATTAACTAAGTTTCTCTTTTATCTTGTAAATTTAGTTGTCATGGCTGTATTGCCTCCTAGTTTGGTAGAAACATGAGATCATAAACTCAGTCAAAGGCTAGGTCACACACGAGAAACAAATGAACTGAATATGCAAACTATTAGTCTTTTATTTCTTAACTTGGATCAACCACAGTATGCAGTATTCATTTTGATACTGATTTTAATAGAAGCAGGTTTGATGGCTGATCTGCTGTTCAACGAACACTGGGAGGAGGTATGCCTCCAAAAAAGTTCAAAATTACTCACGATCAAATGGATACTCTCACTGACTAGTAATGCGTATGTTGTCATGTACTTAATAGGATTTTCCACATGATGCCACTGAAGAATTGAAAAGTCTTCGAGCATTTATTGAAGCTAACATAGACATCTTCAAGTGGGTTGCAGTGACTCTGGTTGTTGTTCAGGTATAATTTTGTGTATCTATAGAATAAATAATGAAACTGTTCTTCTTAACATCAAGTTTAGGCATTAAGTCTCTAGAATATGTCACGGTTCTCAAAATTGAGTATTTTGTTACTGCAACCATTTCTTTCATTTTCAGATGAATACATCACCAACTGAGTTTGACTGAGTTTGTTTGGCATGCAAAGAATAATAAACTGCAGGTCTCTATTTTTTTGCTTTAACAATGAGAATAATTAATGTATTAATCTATTTGTACTTTTGGCCATGTTTAATTAGCAATGAACTTTCAAGAATTTTGCAAATAAACTCCTCTAGACAATTGTCTCTAGAACATAGAAGCACCTACGAGCAATCTCATGGGTTGTTTGCACTTGGAAATCATATTGGTAACCACTTGATTAAGAAACTCAAGTTGGTTGGTTCACGCAATGTGATACAAACAACCTTCAATAGAAAGTTTAGAAGGAGGAGGACCAAAGTGTGTGTTTGTTCTTTTTTATTGAGGGCGGGGTGGGTGCTCCGGGGTCCGGCGTGTCTGCCGGGGTGGGGGTGGCGGTAGTGATGAAAAGTGCAGCATGGCTATGAACTTCTTTTTTTCACATGTGGTTGGTTATTGTGTAATTTTACCTTTATAAGTAATATAATTTGTGACTTTACTTTAAATCTTGCCCATGATTTTTCTACCATAATGTCAAGGTGCATCTAGTGCAGCTGCATTATTATTGGTTATAGTACTTTGCTGTTAACGAAGTCATATATGTGCCTGAATCCTTGCCTTGCAGGACATGCCTATAAACTCTCAGGGAATGCTGTGCTGCATAAAGAAACTGTATTTCACGATAATAAGTATGAAGATTTGAGTATATAAAAAGTATCTGCTAACTTTCCTGACACGTTGTATTTGATGGAAATATCACATGTCCAAATAACACGCAGGTCATCTGTGGCAAGTTGAATTTACTCAAGAGTCATTCTTACTATTGCTATATCTCACCGAAGTGCCTAGTAGAATGTAGACTCAGCGCGTGATGACAAGTGTGAAGTTACGTCGTAACTGTCAACCCCTTAAAGCCATCTATTTCTATAGTTTCTCCTGCACCCTAACTCTTGCAAGAAGCACAAATTTATTATCCTTTCTCTTTATATAAATACCTAACTCTTGCTAAGTCTATTTCTATTAAAAAATGAAAAATATATATTATTCACGTTACTATTTGTCTTTAAATTTTCATAACGCCTGTTCCTTAACTCCGTCAACTAAATGCAGCTTCAGTGAAACAAATTAGAGACAATATCAAAAAAATAGTTTTTTAGTATTTTCTTACACCTTTTGAAGAAACTTTGTTACATGTTATTGGTATTTCAAGCAGACACTCTCACTTTTATTGGCAATAATTCTGCGAAGCATTGTTCCCCTGAGAAGGATGGACAATGAAAGCAATGAAGATTTCACTGGTATGAGAAGCCCACTGCTAAATCTGGAAGGTGGGCTTCCCTCACCTTCAAACTCTGTTGACAGAACAACAATCCAACCAGACTCTTGGAGTTCCCGGATGAGAGATAAGGTTTGGTAGTTCACTTTTTATTCATGTAGCACTGAAATTAACTCTTAACAATTGTTAAGGTTTCTATGTTCTCTTTGATTTTAGCCTGGTACATTTCATTCTTCGTTGTTTAGCAGATTGCTCATTTTAGCTTATCAATATGTTCAGAAAGGTTTGGGTTAAAGGAATTTATCTAAAATTGGGTGGGGACAAAGACCCTTTTATTTTCTGTAGTTCTAATGTACTCTCCCAGAATGGTATTAATAATAAAACCCTTCATATCTTTGTTCCTTTTTATGGTAATTTTACAGAAGATAGGCCTCCAATTTTTACTCAAATTACACATAGCCCCAAGCTAGATTTATCTGCTACGTCCAACTTAGGAGAAAACTGTCATTTTTAAATATCTTTCACATGCCTAACTGTGAAAGTTTGATACAATGAGCTCTTGCATGTACACTTGCACCCTAAATAATGCACTTGTCCACAGAAGAAAATGTAACCTCGTAGTTGCCTGAAAGAGTTTTAAGCCAAAATTGGCTGAAATTGCCAGTTGGCATGCTATAGTACTAATTGAGCGCACCATTTTCCTTGCTAGAAAACTATCATTTTATGTTCACTCGAACTAAAGATGGAGAATCACTCTACTATTATAACTCAAAGTTGTTTCTTTCCTGCTGTTCATGTTCTATCGCTGATTTTGAACCGCAGTATGGATTTGTGCCTAGCCCACTGTCAAATGACACTACTACCGGGAAAATCTCAGATGATCAACGGAAATGAAATACTCCGTATTGTGAGCATGGTTAAATTGGGGGAAAAGAGGTTTTCGTTATGCCAAAGCTTCTGGTAAGAAATGTTGTGTTTTTGAATTTATTCGTTATGTACAGCTTGTGCATAAATAAAAAGGGGTTTGGGTTGTATGTGTGTGTTGTGCGTGGGTGTCTCTTGAATGGCAGTAATTGGACGTATGTAATAAATTTTGAGAAAGAGAGATGAGTTTGTATTTATCCTATGAAAATTTTTCTTGTTGGTGGATCGATGCTTTGAGTACTCAGATTCTGAAGTTTCTGTGAGCGGATGCTTGATTGCCTTTATCGATTCGGAGGACTTGTTTGGTTGATTGATCAATCAAACAAGTTTTGTCTTTGAAAAATTGGATAATTTATTGGTTCAATCTGCAAATTGAGTTTTTGTTTTGGATGTCGACGAAAACCAGCACTTACTGTTGCCTTATGTTAAAAGGTTCAGGATTTCCTTTGTACTGAGAAAATTTTGATTAGCAGTTATGTAAGTAATTTAAGACCAATTTAAATTTTGATTAGCAGTTATGTAAGTAATTTAAGACCAATTTTGTTTTTTCGAGTCGCTGCATACCCCTTTGTATACTGTCTTTGCTGTACCCGATCTCTCTTCATCTGCTGCTGGTAGCTGCAAAATAATAGTATATTCACAAGATATATTATTTAGTTGAAAAGAATGATATCTTATTAGCAGATGGTTAAAAAACTGGACATGAGAGCCATATTTTTTCTATTCAAGAAAGTATTCATATTGTATTTTTATCCTTTTAATTGATTTTAAAGAGTAAATCACTAGTAAAAAGCTCTATACGATTGATTTGTCTACTCATTAATGGTGCCATAACCCACTTACCTCTGACTCAGCAATAAAAGTGGCGAGCTTGGAAATTTGACCCAAAATCATATTTGATAGTTCCATATTATGGCCTTTACAATAAATAAATGGATTAAAAATTTTGACAGTTCATTCTGCTAATGGCGTCAGTTCCTTTTAGCAGTAGCACGAACTCAGAGAATTTAGTCCCCCACAAAATTTAGCGCACTTTTGTTTTAACGTTCAATTATTCGCTGTTTGAGTTAAAATCCAATAGCAGCAAACAAACTTAAAAACGTTAAATATTAAAAACTCACACGGGATCACTCCAGAATCATCCAAAGTGAAACAACCAAATTATGTGTGTTATTATACCTTTTTATTCAAGAGCTCCAGCCAAAGGCCAAAACGAGACCGCCCAAGTAATGGCTAATATTTGACATGGGTGTTGCTACAGGGACCCAAATAGGGGACCCAAGGCATGGGACATGTGAGGTGTTACCATCCGGTTGCATGATGTATTGTTTATGAACAGTGCATCATACAACCGGATGGTGACACCTCACCTGTCCCATGCATTGGGTCCCCTGTTTAGGTCCCTGAGGCATTAATATAGTAATAAAGGACCTCTTGTTTGTTTTATTAGACACCAACCACTCTCAGAAGAACACAAGCCAGGATTCTTGTGAAACATCAACCTGTTAATCCTCAGAATGTCAAATGAGAAATGAGAGATTCCATGTCTCTTCACCCAACTTGCAGTTTAATAACAGTCTTACCTTATTTAAAACTCAATTAACAGACTAATCATATTCTGTCAAGCTCAAGAGAAAAATATGGCTAACAGTGTTTACTACCAAGGTAGAATTCACATGCATCTCTGATTCCTGACCACCACTCTCAAATCAAGTTGATGAATGGATACCATCATCACCCACAGTTCGGAGCTGTCCTGGTTTCGATTTCTAGCCCAGTTGACAGAATCATTAATGTAGTTAATCGTGCTTAACTTCACCTACAAGCATCATTAATCCAGCCTAACAGTAACTAAGTACCCATAGCAATAATTATAATGATAGTCATTTCCTTGAAAACCAAGGCAACATTATTAGTTCCACCTGCTTCTCTGTACCTACAGATTTACAGGGAGCTTAAAGAAAACATTTTAACGTCGATAAGAGCGATGTCCAAGATGAGAGTTAATCAGTCAAAAAACCAAACATATATGCATGCTGTCATGATCACGTATCAAACACAAAACAAACAAATTTACTTGGGAAATTATAAATATCAAGACGCTATAATGCCCCCCCATTATCAGCTTTGCAAACAAAACTAAGGAGGAAAGCATCTTAAGCCTTTTTTTTTTTTTTTGTAAAAAAAACCTCATCGCAAACGCCCACAGTGGCCATAATGACAGTTAGTACCTTTGACATGAAGTAACATTATTAGTTCCAGTGATCTCTCTACTTACAGATTTACATGGAGCTTAAAGAGAACATCTTGGAGCCAACAAGTATAAGAGCGAAGCCCAAGGAAAATTTTATCAGTCAAAAACTGAAACATATATACATATTCTCTTGCATACGCTGATCACATATCAAGCATAAAACACACAAAATTACCAGGGAAATTATAAATATTCAGACACTATATTGGCCCCCATTATCACAACAAACAGAAACTAAGGATGAAAACATCTAGAGGATAAAAAATACCTCATAACTCTGCCAAAGCTTCTCGAACTAACTCATCCAAAACCTTGCTACTAATATCCTTGCTGATTTCTTCGATCTCGGACTGAATCAATTCTTCCCATCCATTTCCTCCTACCTCTCTTCTCAGCAATATATCCACGACTAAATTGCTGTAATCAATATCTCCAAACTCAAACTTCCCTTCGCCAGAAAACCAATCACTTACAAGCAACCACACTTGATCTCCTATGGAAGAAGCAGCAGCACAAGCTTTTCTTTTCCTCACGCTAAAAGCTTTTGGCCATGGATATGCACCAACGTAGACTGTCTTACCAAGTTCTAATAACGCAAAATTTATACAATCAAACAGAAGTCTCTGATTTGATCTCTTTTCCCTGCTCTTAGCATCTTCCTCTTTCCTGTTCAAGAACTTGTTTAATAGAACAGGGTCCAATGGAGTGTTAACTGAGTGCCATCTAGCAAACGCTGAGTTCAAGTTCTCTTTGTCTAACCCAGAATTTGAGAGTACATTCTGAACAAATAAATACCGTTGTTGCTCTTCTTCGTTGCACTCATGCAAAGTTATTGATGATTCGAGTATTGTATCATCCCATGACAAAGTGCGAGCAATTGATGCAATTGGTGCCACTGTGATTAAAGGGCACATATATAGGCTCAGTGAGCAGAAAGGATTTCAGGCAATTCTTTTTCCTTCTTGTATATATACCCCTTAAATCATGCATATTTACAAAGCTACCCCCTAAATCAACAAAGCCTATCAACTTCGTTGGATATGGTGAGTAAAAATTGACTATTTTGTACATAACTTACATTACAATTACAAAGCCTATCAAAGTTGATGATTGGTTGATTTGGGGGGTAGTTTTTCCCAAAGTTAATATGTAGGGGGTAGTTTTGCAAATAAGCATGGTTCAAGGGGTGTATACATATACAAGAAAGCCTATTTCAGAAACTGGAGGAGAGTTTGTAAATAAGCTTACATGAATGTCCAGCATTGTGAATTTCACAGGAACTGGGAGTGTTGCTTGTATCATTCTCAAATGGCGCATCAAGAACTGATGTGGGGCTGGGTTGGTTCTGACTCTCGGTAATATTATTAGATGAACTCGGGTCATTTTGATTATTGCTTAAACCTTCTGATATGCTCGGTTTCTCCAGAGAAAGAATCTCCTGCCAAAACATGCATAGGTGACTAAATTAGAGGTAAAGATAAAAATGGGAAAAGATTTCAGTCTCGTGCTTAATTAAAGGTAAAGATAAAAATGGGAAAATCGAAGTAAGATTGAGGCATACCCTAAAAGAGACATTTCCTTGTTTTGATGGATCCTTCACTGGACCAGGAGAAAATACCTTCATAGGTTCTTTGTCAGTGCTAAATGGAGGATAAGCTTCAGGTTGATGTAACAAATCAACATTTTCCTTAACAGCAGGCTCAAAAGATTTCTCTCTACTGCCCTTCTTATTCCTAGAAAAGAACAAACTCGAAACTTTCCCCTTAAATGATGATGATTTCCCACTTTTCGACTTAGCTGAATCTTTGACAACAATAGGTTTCTTGACCTGTGAGTTGCAATCTTCTGAGTTCAACTGGACATTCTTAAAACCAGAAGAAACCGGAAGAGATCTTGACCTAGATAAACTTGAAGGCGATTGTGATTTCTCAATGTCATCTCCATCTTTTGTTTGAGAAGTGGACATACTAGAACTTGACATTCTCAATTCTTGTTCGCCACCAAATGATCTACTACTTGAAACATCTATCCCCTTCATGGTGACTTCTTCTTTCTTTACCTCTGGAATAGAAAGCATCTCACCCAATGTATTAGAGCTCCTTCCTCTTTCCATTTGCCCTCGACTTTTTTCATTCGAAGTAACCAGAGACCATCTCTCTGAAAGCCTTTTCTTAGCTTCTCTAATAACTGATGGCTCAGGAGAACCAGATGCTCGACTAAAGGATGAAAATGATGAAGGACTACCATATCTATTGGAACAGTCCCACGAATGTCGCGATAATGAAGTAGGAATCTCTAAATCGCTGAAACTTCTATCTTCGTCGCCTCCGAAATCATTTTCTGATCGATTAAATGAGCTCTCATCTCCAACATAGCCATTTGATAAGACTGAAGATAATAATGAGTCGTCTCTTCGATTACTACTAAAACTCTCCCTCATCTGCTGAGTTATATCCTCCGCTATGTCTTTAGATCTTATGGATTCAGTAGTCGTAAAGGCTTGGGCAAGATCATCCTCCTCCACTTCATAGGGCATAATCATCGATTTTGTGTCATCACGTTTTCTAGGGCTTGGCTTTAGGACTACTATCCTTGTTGGTTGATTCATGGTAGAGCTTCGTTGAGGCTTGTTATTATCCCACCCACCACTAGTCAATGGATAGTGCTCACCTCTCATCTCTACTGTTCTTGATGGTTTCAATATTGTGATTCTCTTTGTTTGAGGTACTGCAGGAGTCGAGAGCTCTTTCAAATGCTTTGAGAAAAGGGAATTTGGCTCCTCCAGAAATTTGAGGAATAAATCTCTATTTGAACTTAAAACTTCCAGGGCATCTTGGAATTCCTTGGACTGCAAAAGCCTTTCATCCGTGGCCAGTCTCTTTGCTTCCATGAATTTCTGACGAACAAGGGCCATCCTCCTCTCGTTCTGAATATCAAAATTTCTCACTTCATATATATCTCGATATTGCTTCTCATTGTCGAAATAGAAATCTTCGAGCTTTCGGGAGTTTTGGAGAGCTCCAGCTAAGGTAACACGCGAAGAACGACCATTTACAACTGATTGATGAGCAGGCAGAGCTTCATCGAGACCCATTAACCTAGCAACGACATTGGTTTGCTTCCTTCTAGACTCGGTTTCTTTAGACATCTCTTGAGCCATGAGCATCTTCATTGGTGTTCCACCTGATTTCTTGGATGAAGAATTTTTCCTCGGATCACTGGCTATCTGCAATACATTTGCAACAATTAGACCATAAAAAATGTTCTTCCTTGTTTGGTGGAGCAAATATAATCTACTCACTCGTTTGTCCTCTGCATAAACTATCCCATGATCGATACATTTCTTAATATCATTACGACTTCTGTAACTTGGAGAACCTGCCAATTCGGTCACCCAAATCATTAATAGATAAATAATTCTACAGAAAAGAAAACGGACATCTTCGACAAATCACTTGGAAGAAAAACAAAGAAAAAAAGAAATGGGGAATCCTAGCGAACACAAAGGAAGAAGAAAGTTTGTTGGACAAGATCCATTCTAATTCACAGAGTACAATGAAATAAAAGAGAATATTGGTTGTTTTCCACAGCTTAAAAATCACTGCTTGACACAAGAGAATGGCAACAAGATTGAAAAAAATTGCAAAGGGTAGCTCCAAACGCAAATTTTGATTAATAAACAGATGACTATCTCTCACCAAGCTCCAAATACTTAACCTTTCTTATCATAACTTTGAATTGAAAGATAATTTTATCATCCTGTCCCTAAAAAGATTCACTGCTTCCAGATCTTAACTCAGCCAAGTATAACAAAATAAGAAAGTTAGGAATCCAATTCAAGGTTCCATTTTATTTTATTAATTATACAAAACCAATTAAAGAAGTATCAATATAAATACTATTAAGTTTTGTAAAATACCATCTCTATGAGATTTATCAGCCAGCAACTTGCTTCCACCCATGCCTGCACTCAGCTCAAGCACAATTAACTAATTTCCTCACCTGAAATAAATTTCAAATTAAAGGAGAAGAGTCAATGAAGTTCATTTCTTTATTCACACCATACCTCAGACAATTAGGAAATTAACAAAAAAGTAAAAATAAAAAATAAAAATACTTACCAGATTTAGCACTTGTGAAATAAATAGCCGTCCTTCACAGTTCAATCTGCACAACTAAGAGTGCGAAAAAACAATTATCAGAAACTGGAACCGAATGTAAAGATCTCGCATTTCTAACCAAACATTCGCCATCGTCAAATTTAAAGCCTGAGACCCATCACTACTTTCTTTAGAAAGTAATCAGTTTTCTTTCTTCTCGCCCCTGATTAGTTTCTCAAATGGGCATCAAATAAAAACCCCAAAATAAATGCCCTAGCCAAATCCCTTGCCAAAATTGAAAATTACCCATTTTTAGCCAAATCCCTTGCCAAAATTGAAAATTACCCATTTTTTCATTACCGTTCTAATAACTTAAAATCTCCGCTAAAACGATCACAGAAACATAGAAAATTACCCATTTTTTCATTACCGTTCTAATAACTTAAAATCTCCGCTAAAACGATCACAGAAACATAACACGTGAATTCGGGGCGAAAAGCCCAGATTTGACAGACCGACTGTAGAAAAAAACCAAACAGAAAAAGGAAAAAAGCTAGCTGGGCTCAAAAAGTAGGGATATTTTGTAGCAAAATTTGGGAATAAGACTAAAAAGCAAAGACCTTTTTAAGAGCATACCGTACTCTGAAGGGAATCTAGCAGTGCAAAAGCCGCATTTTTCCAGAAATTTCATAAAAGAGTTTCCCAAAAAAAAAACTGAAGGAAGCTAAAATTTTAGGAAAATAAAGGGGGAATCTTGGGTAGAAAAGTTTGAAGGAGATCTCAATGATTTTGCAATCAAAAAGATTCTTACTTTGTTTGAGAGCCTCAGCCAGCGTTGGGTCATCGGAATGCAGCATCTCCGTCGAAATTTCCGGTGAGTTTGGCG